TATTGGGAGTACAAATTAGTTCGGTCCGTTTTTTTGAGATCAAATATGCATTTATTTCAAAACAAAATGAATGAACAGGTTAATCAAAGTATTGTCCATCGTTGGCTACTACTTTTTCCCATCTCTCAGGCAATTTTCGAATTCCATCTCGAAAAAATGTCTCGTCTTTTGAGGAGATCCATGTTTGCAGCCAATTTTCGATTTCTGCGAAGGAAGTGAATCTGTGACCTGTCAAATTGTGTTGCATCTGTCGGAACAACCAGTAATCGGAAGGAGCGATGTCCGGCGAATACGGCGGGTGCGATAAAATATCCCACTTGAGCGTTTCCAAGTAGGTTTTCACAACTTTTGCGACGTGCGGCCGAGCGTTGTCATGCAGAAGAATGACTGAATCGTGTCTTTGCTCATATTCCGGCCGTTTTTCACATAATGCACGACTCAAACGCATTAATTGCAGCCTATACCTATCGCCCGTAATGGAATCGCCAGGTTGTAGCAACTCATAGTATACAACACCCTTTTGGTCCCACCAGATACACAGCATGACCTTCGAACCATGAATATTTGGCTTCGGTGTTGATGTTGCTGTCGGTAATAGCGATTGACCAGGCATTGCGTAATATTTCTTCCTCTTAGGGTTGTCATAAAATATCCATTTTTCATCGCCAGTAACAATTCGATGTAAAAATCCCTTTCGTCGTTGCCTTTGTATCAGCTGCTCACAAGTGAGAAATCGTCTTTCAACGTCTCTTGGCTTCAGTTCATGAGGCACCCAATTGCCTTGCTTTTGAATCATTCCCATGGATTTTAATCTTACGGAAACTGCTTGTTGAGTCACTCCCAATGATTCTGCAAGCTCCTCTTGCGTTTGACACGGATCTTCATCGAGTAATGCCTCCAAGTCTTTGTCTTCGAATTTCTTTGGCTGTCCAGTGCGAGGCTTGTCTTCAACGCTGAAATCACCATTCTTGAAACGTCGAAACCATTCCCTACATGATTTATCAGTTGGAGCATTGTCACCATAAACTTCCACCAGCATTCGATGCACTTCAGCTGCACTTTTTTTCCAATTAAAGCAAAACACTAACACCTCCTGCAAATGCTGCTTAGTTAAAACAAAGTTTGCCATATTCAACACAGTAAAAAATAAGGTTTTTGTATGAAACTCAAAACGATATAAACTGAATATTATTAACAAATGTCTAACCTCTTTGAAACAATTGAAATTAGCTGTTACCATGGAACATTCATAACAGACAGAGACACCATTTCAAGACGGACCGAACTAATTTGTACTCCCAATATAAACAATATATAATATATTTATAAAGCGTTTGATTCACCTTACACACTGTGGCGGTTTCACGACGCATAGAATCTCGAGACCTAGACTTTCTCGCTAGTACTCAAAGAGCATTCCCATTCATATACAGTTACTCACAAAATTGAGTGTACAGTTACGTTAGCAATAAAAATTGACGGGAAAATCAATGCAAACACATTATATTTCACAGTAAATACATAATATATATTTTATTCATATATTGTAACAAATAATTCGTAATTGAGTTTCTAAATAAAATAAGTAATTTGTTTATATTTAACAAAAAATGTAAAAATATGCTTGTTTTCATGACACAAAATTGAGCGTACATATACGTAATTAACATTATTTATATACTTATATCGCATTATCTATATAAATTAATATTTCGTTGCGTATCCTTTGGCATTAATTATTGCTTGCAAGCGACGGGGCATAGAATGAATTAAATTTTTTATGAAATTTGGTGGAATACTTTGCCACTCTTCTCTTAATTGCTGTTTAAAATCTTCTATATTTTGAAAATTTCTGTTTCTCATTCTAAATTTCAATTCTCCCCAAACATTTTCGATTGGATTCAGGTCTGGCGATTGCGGAGGTGTTTTTAATAATTTTGGTATATTATACAACAACCATAATTGAACTAAATGACACGAATGTTTTGGGTCATTGTCTTGTTGGAAGTAATATAGTTGTGGCATTTTTAATTTTTCTGCTGATGGTTTTAAATTTTTTTTTAAAATATTCAAATATTGTATTTTGTCCATTTTTCCATCAATAAATTCAACATTTCCGGTCCCGTTTGACCCTATACACCCCCATAACATCACAGATCCTCCGCCGTGTTTAATGGTTGGACATGTATTCTTTTTATCATATTCGGTATTTGCTTTTCTCCATACGATTTGTTTCCTTCCGTCCCGTCCAAATAAATTTATTTTGGTTTCATCAGAAAATATAATATTTTCCCAAAAACTTTCGTCATAGTTAATAAACGCTTTTGCAAATTCCAAGCGCTTTTTCCTATTTGTTTGTGAAATGTACGGTTTTTTTTCTGGCAATTCGGCCGTTATACCCTTCTTTTCTTAATGTTCTACGGATTGTTTCTACTGAAATTTTTGTTTTTATGCGTGAAGAAACTTCTGATGTTAAATTTCTAATATTTGTTTGTGGATCTATTTTAATTTGTCGACAAATCGATCTCACATCGGCTGTTGTTAATATTCTTTTTCTTCCTCGCCCAGGCTTATTTCTTACTGTACCTTCATAACGAAATTTGTTTATAATTTTTTGAACTGTCGAATGTGTTCTTCCAACTATTTTTCCTACTTCACGAAAAGATTTACCTTGTAAATATAACTTAACAATAAGATTACGTGTAGAAATATCAGTCTGCACTCTTTGCTGCTCCATTGCTGGTTTACGAATAATGGATTGTGTTTTGTTATTGTTTATTTAATAAATGAAGGTAGAAAACACATTTCACGGACTTCATATTCAAATGCACCAACCTTCGTTCAATACAGATCTGTATAACTTAAAAATTTTTATGTGTACGCTCAATTTTGTGTCATGAAAACAAGCATATTTTTACATTTTTTGTTAAAAATAAACATATTACTTATTTTACTTAGAAATTCATTTACGAATTATTCGTTACAATATATGAATAAAATATATATTATGTATTTACTGTTAAATATAAGTGTTTGTATTGATTTTCCCGTCAATTTTCATTGCTAACGTAACTGTACGCTCAATTTTGTGAGTAACTGTATATAGTTCCTGTCCATCCCTTCCTTACATCCCCGCGTCTAAGGCAAGGGCCTGCTAGAACACCTTACTGATGAGTCCACTAGCAGGTTCCGGACGAAACGTTCTCCCTCTCCTTTACTTTTCCTAGCTCCCTACCTTAGCTAGCCGAACCGCCAAACACACCTAATAATAAATGCCAGAAATTGTATTATATTTTGAAAGTCGCATGTCACAGACTCAGTCTATTTAACCCTTTGGCTACATTTGACGTATCAGAACGTCATACATTTATTTGGACAAAGATAGACATGACGTTCTGAAACGTCATTGAAACTAAGACGAGATTTAACTAGTTCATTCTGGTTTATTTCAAAGTATTGCGTATCTGTTGCAACAAAACAAATAATTTCAGTATTTTGGTAAACCTTGTTTGGGATACACAACCCCACAATGGCAGAAGTAGAGCGACAATTTTAACGAAAGCGACAGTTTTAATGAAAGTAGTGATCTTAAACAATCTAATGAAGAATTTCAAAATGAAAATAATGAAGAATATATCGAACTAGAGAGTGATAACGATAATAAAATTAGTACAAGATGCTTATCAAGCAGTGATAGTGAATCTTCTCATGAAAAATTAGATGAATGGATTTGGGAAGAAAAAGAAAATGTAGCTGATGTAAAACGGTTTTCTGAAGTACCTGGAATCAATACTTTGTGCCTGCGAAGGCTAGGCGATAATCCTAAAGCTTTAGATGTTTTAAATGAAGTTTTAAATGAAGATTTTTGGAATATCATAGTAGAAGAGACAAACAGATATGCCGGACAAATAATAGAAAAAGAAGGTTTTGGAAAAAAAAGATATTAAAAGTGGAAAGACGTAGAAGCTCTTTACATACTTGATTATATGCATTCGAGGCTGCGTCCCCCAAAGGTACGATAAAAATACAACTTCGTTAACTATATTTACAATGTAAAAATGAAAATTCCATTTTATTCGTATTTTATACTTACTAGTATACTTTTCATATAAAAAATTACGAGAAGATACAACTTTTAAATAACAAAAAAATTAACAAAAAAGTGTCATTTTTTAATATATTATTTAAATAAATACGATTTTTTAAAATCCATTTGCACAGTTGGATTCCGCATTAAAAAATACACAACATTGCAATTTGAACCATCCCTCTAGCTCTACTGGTTCCCGAAACATTCCACAAAACGTGATTCTCACCCCCCACTTTGAGGGCTATTTTCACCCCCTCAACATGAATAATGGCAGCTAAAAAAAAATACGTGTCGAATATTTTTTCGAGTACTACATTATATCCAAGTTTCATCAAAATCGGAAATTATCACTTCGGGATGGTCCCTTGTTAGAAAAATGCAAGGAAAATAACTTGAGTTCAGTTAATAAATGCACATACAGGAAAATCTTTAAACGAGATTTCAAGTTACACTTCCATTTGCCACGTAAAGATACCTGTGCGAAATGCAATTTCTTAAACATGAAAATTAAAACAACAACTGATGACGAATAAAAAACAATTCTTGTACAAAGACATGATGTTTATTTGCAAGATGCTGAATTAGCAAGAAAAGCATTACAAGAAGATAAAATTCTAGCATCAAAAAAATCTTAATAAAATACTTTGCCTTCTCTTTTGATTTACAATTTTGGGGACAATTTCCCCAATTCATCTGTCTCAATCGCATATTATAAGCGAAATATACATATATGTTTTAAACGAGGGTTTTCACAATTTCCATGACAATAAAGTTAATATGTATGTGTGGGACGAAACAATTTTTTTTTTGCGTGGGGGAAATCTTCAAAAGATACCCCGCACCGATTTTCACTCACTAAAACCCCCACTGTGGTCCTTCCCCGGCGCAAGAAGGGGGCACTAGGAATTCTTAAGGAACACGGCTGGGGCCCCCGCAAGGGACAAAACTATTGCTTCCAGAGGATCGCAAGAAGTAGCTTCTTGCTGTTTGAGGCATTTAGAAAATGTAACGACCCAATGCCATGTTATTGCCTACAGTGACATGTATACTAGGCAAAATCGAAATTTACAAATGGCATTGACGTGATTGAAGGTTGTCCAGTCGTTGGAAAATAACATTGACAGAATTGATCACAAATTTTTACTCTCGGGACATTCATATTTTCCAAACGATACAAATTTTGGCATCATAGAAATGGCATTACGAAAAAATAATTTTCTGTACGCACCGCAGGATTATTATGACGTGATAATACACTGTAGAAAACGTGATAAATTCATTTTACATGAAATGAAATGAGAGAATTTGAAGTGAGGTTTGCTCCCCCTAGCAATGCATTTTATGTTTTTCACACTTCCGTTTTGTCGTTTCCCGCTCTTATGCACGTTGTGTAACCGTTTTTCACGAAAATGTATTTTTGCTTTTATTTTGTATTTTACAGTGTATTATTTTTGTTTCTTAATAGTGTATATTAATAAAATTCAATTGCATGATAAAGCCTTCAGATTTTCGTTCCAATAAAAAATCTTCAAAATGCGATTAAAGAACAGATAAGAAAAAACACTAATGGAGAACAGGCAACAGGTAAACTGGTAGCAAATATGTTGGATGAGGTTTCTCAAAAGTGCACCATACATTATTTTATATAAAACATCGATGACAGACAAAGAATTTAAAACTATAAATTTATTACCTACACGTTCTGGAAGACCGCTAAAATTTGAAAAAATCGTCCTGGCGCCTTTATACTAATATGCCAGGCCTATTACTTATGAAAAATATAGACATCAAGTAGTTATTATCTTATATACTGAAGAAGGTTGTTCGTCCGTTTGGTTCTAAGATTGGCAATGGGATCAGTTTAGGGACTTTTGATTTCGTAGGTTCGACGCGTGCCGATTTTCGGCCATGATTTTGTGCAGTTCTCCCCACTTCCGTTGCGACCGTTATAGAAGTAAGATGTGCGGTAGTAGCACTGATAGTTTTTCCTTTAGTTCTTTATAGTAGTTTGTATTCACTTTTGTATTATTATCCTTTATATTATATATTTTTAAACATGGTTATGTGCTTCTTTTATTCCACGGAAATTAACCCTGAACAATGGTTATGGGCTCAGAAGCGCACCAGAGAAGCGTACAGAAGCGCATACAGTAAAACATAACCTAAAATAGCCACGTGTTCTGTAGAGAGTCTGCACGAAAGCGAATTACTAAAGTGTTTCTTGTACAATTAGAATAATGGATAGAAACGAGTTTCAGATTACTAAGCTTTCGGATAGGAATTATCGAAGCTGGAAGATAGAAATGAAATGGCTATTGCGTGCAAAAGGGTTATTAGAACATGTGTTAGGAGATGTAGAATTGAAGGAAAATGCTACTGAGGCCGAAAGAAGAATTTTCATGACCAATGATAATAAGGCAATTGCAGCAATTGGATTAAATATTGAACCGGAACAACAGATTCATATTGAAGACAGTGTAACAGCAAGATATGCCTGGAGATCCTTAGAACAAGTGCACCAGCCAAAATCTAGGGTAAGGATACTACAGCTCAAAAGAGAATTCCATCACCTAGAAATGAAAGACAATGAATCCATGTCTGCATATATATCCAGAGCAAAGATCATTGCTAATAATTTGACGGAAGCAGGTGCTGAGGTAAAAGATGAGGATTTTGCTTACGTACTCTTGCAGGTCTTCCAGATTGTTATGAAAATTTAAATATGGCGTTAGCAAGTTTACCTGATGAGAAGTTTACCTCTACAGAGATTAAAAGAGTATTATTATCAGAATATGACAGAAGGATATCAAGAGGTGGCGAAGAAGACACTGTGCATAAGAAAGCATTCCAAGTCATGAAGAAAACAGAAGAAAAAGAACCAAAGGGCCAATATCAAAATAGGTTTAAAAATGTCACTTGTTTTAATTGTAGAAAGTTAGGACATTATGCCAAAGACTGTAGAGTAAAAGTAGATAAAGACAAGAGGAAGTTTGAACAAAAACCAAAGAAAAGATATGATGCATATTTGGTTTCTGTGAACCACGTTGATATTGAGGATGTGTGGATATTGGACAGTGGAAGCACACATCATGTCTGCAAAAGAAGAGAGTGGTTTACCAGTTTTTGAGAAATAAATGTACGGGTAATCAATACAGCTGCAGATCAAAATAAACCAGGAGCAGTACTACATGCACAAGGAATCGGTAATATAATAATTAAAACATTTGTTGGAAATGAAAAAAGGGATGTTATATTAAATGATGCATACTTTGTGCCAAACCTCAGAAAGAATTTAATGTCTGTATCACAAATAGAGAAAAAGAATAAAGAGTTAATTTTCAGACAAGGAACAGTTAAAATACGAAATAGTTTATCAAAGCAGGTTATATGTTGTGACGTGGTATTTTATACCCGTCACAAGGAATCTCCTCGGAGGACCGGACAGGTACTGTGTAAAGGGCAAAACCGTCTAGAGAAAAAAAAAGCGTCAAAGAAAACTACCGCAATATGAGTCAAGGAGGACTCCCAGATCCATGGGCACATTTGCGACCCTACCATAAAAGCATCAGCAACATCATCCAGTACGAGCCCGGCCTCTGGACGGCCCTATGCCGGGCCATGGATGAATCCAGGGAGTTTTACCGCGCCTCTACGGGAGCGGAGGACAGACAAATACCGCCACACCACAATATCGGGTTGCAAATCCCACCACGTCCCGCGGTATCGACAAGAACCCAGGCAGTACAGATTAGAATTTGGGGGCCGCCCCGGTCAAGGGGACAAACCCCTCCAGCACCCCCGACAGCTGACCGCGCCACACAAACTGGCGAGGAGGAGAAGGTGATCACCCCCAGGATGCGTCCGGCGGGACAACCCGGTACCCCAACGACAGCCTCATCATCGTCAACAAGGGGCACAAGATCAACATTCGGCAACCATGGCACAGCACCATTGGACTGCTGGAATTGCGGCGGCCATGGGCATCGCTACTCGACGTGCACACAACCGCAGACCCGCGCATATTGTT